CAGACAGACAGACAGACAGACAGACAGACAGACAGACAGACAGACAGACAGACAGACAGACAGACAGACGAAGCGCTTTATAGTAAGTAGGACAAGCGAATAAATGTTCCACCATCAAAAAACCTCAAAAAACACTGACCAATAATGAAAGGCTTCCAAAAGTAGTGGGAAAGGGAAAACGAGATTTTGCGCCTACAACCTCACGGTTGTCTTACACGGAGGCGTACTACTCCTGTCCTAACACATTATTGTGAATTGTACAGCTTCAAAAAGCAGCCACAATACGGCCACTTTTGGGTGTGTACGTCGGCGATGTCGATTCTGGTCCTCTTATAACGCTGTGTCCTATTCGTTTTTCGACCGAAGAGTGTCTCACGTGCTCTCTTAGAAAGCCGCTGGTTTGTTTTCGGAGGGGATCTCTGAGAACATCCTATCGTGAACTGAGCTTTCAAATAAAATGCACAGCGAGGACCTCTTTCTGGCAGGCTCATTGGTTAAATTCGGCTCCTTCTGAATGGCAAACCTCTTGAAATTTGAAATTTTTCCTCCTTAACTTGAGGTTTTGCTGATAGCGAGCCGATTTTGAGCCAATTCCTAGTTCCCCATTTGAACAGCATAATAAGATGAAAAGGAGTCTGCCGAACTCGAGCCGAACCAAACGCAAATAAAGTTTGGAATCAGAGACCGCTTCAAACGCTATACGCTTTAAGTGGAGCGGAATGGTCGAAGATACTCCACGATTTTCCAAAACTGAGGGAAAGACTATATGATGCATTGTGACGAACTGTATGTCAGTTAAGCCGTCTATCTCTTTGCTATCGGTCAAAAATACCAAGTTAGTATGAGGCAGGGAATAAAGAAGGACCTGAGGGAAAAGCGTTACAGATATCGCTCAAGACACATGGTAGTTTTTCCGGATTCGGGTGATAGAACCAGCACATGGTGCTGGAAGCAGAGCAATGAAGACAAAGGGTTTTACCCCTTCATCCTCTCACACCCTTTACTTGAGCAACCTCATGTCGTGACTCTCTTGTCTTCAAATAACAGCAAATTTTCATTAATAACTGAGTACTTATGACCGCATCATTAACAAAAAGAAACTAATTCCAGTGAACAACAACACAGACAACACCCGTGATTTAGTTCTACAGGTAAACAGTTTCAGAATGCATGGGGTAAGAACAGAATTGGAAAAGGGTTTTGTACCATTAGTGACTGGACAAGTTCAACCTAAGAAACGATCGGAAGCAGACGTTAGAATCTTCCTCACAACTCCACAAAGATACGTTGTGCCCGTAGCAACCCATGAAAGTAACGATGCGCTCTTTGCAAAACAAATTGCAAGTGATGCCCACTGACCCGGAAAATAAGTAACTATTCGAGACCCCAATTTCCAAACATAAATCTCAGCACGGAACACTCTTTGAACCATTTCGTTATCTGTGACTGAAAAGCTGCTACAATGGGACCCTGCCAAACGGTGGCCGATTACAAAGGAGTGCGCCGTTTCAACAGTGGTCTCGTGTGGAACACTACAGTTTCTAAAACGTCCACGAAATAAATCCCAAAAATCTCACTACGGCTCGCGTTTTCTGGTTTTTTGTCTTCGTTCTATGTTTGTTAGTGTCTATTTTGGATGTTTACTTGGGTTAGCAGTTGTTTCTTGGAAATACTTATGCTGTCGTCTAATTTCGTACGATAGATGGTTATATTACAGTGCGCTTGTCGTTAGTGACGTACTTGGAAATTTCCGAGCTCTAGTTTGTTTCTACGGAAAAGTAATTGTAGTCGCCAAACTTTATGAAAAGTATTTTGTGCTTGTTTTTGAAGCCTTGTAGCTTTTCATCATAACATATGTGCATATTTGATATTATTTCGTTCCAGGTACACCATACGCTGCGATGGCTCCCGTAGCTAAGAAGCCACAGGTTCGTGAGAGTTACTCTGGAGTTAGAAATTCGGACTGAGAAGGTCCTAGGTGCTGGAGTCTGAATTTTCTAATTGAGAAGGATGTAACTTTCTTTGCAATCGGCGTACTTCCGGATTTCGGTCCGGTATGTATTTCGCCGTTTACAAGCAATTTGTGAAAGGTATAATGTTGGGGCCACAGTAGTTCTCCGCTAAAGCTCGGAAAAATGATATTTAAAAGTTCATAGCCTTTTGGTTTCTCAACACTCGTATGGACATCCAATACTGGATTACTGGGACGTGTAACAGGGATGGCTGATGGCTAGTTTTATTTGCTATGTTGGAGTCGGAAAATCAGGCATTTAGGCTCGGTGTAGTGCATCATATTTCGATGTTTCCTATCGTATGAGGAAATTGAACTGGAAACAGGGTTGTTTCTCTATCTATCTTGAGATTAGTGATTTCATTTTAAGTCTTTTGAGGAAGTGATTGTTTGAGAAACCGCCAAGGGTGTGTGGGTCTCACTGGCATTTTAAAAAGTAGTATTGCGTGGCTTAAAAGGTATTTCACGGATGGTTTATTGAAAAGGATTTACTAAGCGATTGAATCTGCAGAAATATGAAGGGAAAAGGATCTGCAAAATTTAATCGTTTTTATGATTCAGGTTAAGAAAAATGCTGAGAATATCAATACCCGATTATCTATGGTTATGAAGACTGGTAAATACGTTCTGGGGTACAAGCAGACGCTGAAAGCTCTTCGTAATGGCAAAGCTAAACTGGTCATCATTGCTAATAATACCCCACCTCTAAGGTTGGTTTCAATTCTCAAGCGAATGCAATATTCAAATTTATTTTCATTATTTTCAATTTCTATTTTTAAGGAAGTCTGAGATCGAATACTACGCTATGTTGGCGAAGACCGGAGTTCATCACTACAACGGCAACAACATTGAATTGGGGACCGCTTGTGGTAAACTATACCATGTGTGTACGCTTTCCGTAACCGATGCAGGAGACTCAGACATCATTCGCAGCATGCCATCAGAGACGGCATAACTTTGTTAACTGTTGATTTTGAAATAAATTTTAATTGTTTCTGGTATTCTCGAAGCAACGTATCAATAAATTGATATCTGAGCTGATTAGGCATGGTAACTTTCGATGGGCAGGTTCGGAAGAAACTTCACATCCGATGCCATTTTTTTCCCGGAACCGTCCAGCGCTTCATATCGTGCAATATCTCGATAGTTGTCGTCCAGGCTGAGTTCTTGTCCTGTGCATGTCTTCGTTTGGCATCCGTGGTCCCATTCGACCCAAAACAGTTTGGATGCCTCCAAGCAGCCGGGGCCTAGCTGCTTGGAGGCATCGGCGTTAGTTTCTGTTGATTACCTCTGACTACGACAACTACTATGTAGTTACTTTAAGTAATTGATATAGTGTCTACAATTTTGGGTTGTGTTTTCAACCAGACCTGTCTCTCAGAAGTGCTATGATAGCCACAGCATTTTCAAAGGCCAATTATCATGACAAACATCTAGAAGTATCTAGTGTTCCAGACGTCATGAGTTACGGCAATATCATCTAATAAGGGAAGAGAAATTGTCATCCACGCTCTTGAACAAAAAGTCGACCCCGTTTGCTGCCAACGGGTGCTGTCGCCGCGCCGCGCACATGTACTGTTTTGCCTCCGAAACTACGGCAAAAACTCCGTTTTGCTTCTGCTAACTCGTCGGAACTTTAAAGCGCGAGGGTTCAGCGTCATCAGAGAAATCAATTTTTGCGAAAACAAAATCGAAGTTGACGGAAGGAGAGCTGAATGTAAAAGATGGTGAACCGTCTCTTATGAGTGCGCTCCCTTTTGGGACGAAGAATGTATCTAAAATCTCCGGGATCCAACCCGATTTTGTGTACAGAAGA